TGTATACACAGCTGAAAATGGCAGATTTGAAATTTACTATTCTTAGGGAGAAAAACAGGGGAATATTGAGGCCAGCACAGAGCAATTGCATTTTATGGTCTGTATTTATTTGAACTGAATTTTCACACTGAAAAATGCAAATTTGTGGAACTTCAGCAGCCTCATATTCAGATTTTGTTTTATATTTTCAACAGTTATGTCTATGCGCTTGCTATGGGAAGGAGTACTATAGACATTTGGGTACGTCGATAAAACTCTAGCCTAGAGCGCTGCATTTTGGAGTTGAGGTTAAGAGGTTTGAGATTAAGCAGGGGTTCTTTCTGCTATTTATACCAAAACGAAGGCTCAAAATGTTTGAGACAGACCAAGAAAAAGGAAGAGCATGCTCCTTCATTCATAAAAAGTCCTTAGTCTATTGTTAAAATTTCTGACACGCTGCAAGTGCTAACTGGCAAATTGGAACATTATGATAGGAACTGAAGTTGTGATCTGTCTGTTGCTCCATTTGAGACCAACCTAATAACTTTTGATCTTGTGGATTGCGCAGTAACATAAGGTCTCCTCCTAGCAAACATGTCATTCAGTCTGTCTGGGGAGAACAATGATATACTGTGTTTGGCGGCTACAACTGCAAATTCTTTAAGATCAGTTCTACATTGCCTTGGATGTAAAAATATGCTAAAAAAGATTTCCCCTATAAAGAATCAGCCTGTCATTTCACTCTACTTGAGATCAAAGTTTGTCACAGTAGATGTTCGAGTTGAGATGGCCTTCGCCGAAATGGAGAAAAATTCGCTTTGTCCATTCACTTCGATGGTTCCCATTCAAATTCACCTTTACTGCGATTAAACGTTCCCGATTTCAGAGCGGAGACCAGGGTTGCCCTTGGCGGTTCTGTCAGATGACAACAGTTTGCCGTACACGCCTCGATCAGCTAGAGTTGCTGTAACAATGACGACAACCTGACCGCAAAGGCATATGCGCACAATCAAAACCACGTTCTCGATTAACGGCATTTATCATTTCTAACCATTGATAGATTTCTTTTCTGTGTATCCTATCTAATGTGACAATAGCCAATAATCATTTCATACTATCAAGTTGGTCCAAGTTCGTTCGCACAATTTTCGAAAATTCGCAGCTTCCTTGTGTCCTCCTGGACTTGCTCGTCATACTTTTACTAGAATGAGGACATCAGGTAGCTTCCAATGGCTACTTGAATGCTTCCTTCCAAGTAGCCATTGCCTCCATAGGAGGCAGAAATAAGTCTGTGAAGAAAGATCTTACGAGTTTTGGTGATTTCAAGCGAGCTTACCAAGAATGAAACGATCCGAAACAATCATAAATATAGTCCGTTTTCTTCCAAGTTGCACAGAATTCGTGCTGATCGAGAGTTTCCAAGAAGAGAGTTATAATTTTTGTGAGAAGTATGAGAAAAAAATAGATTTCTCTTTTCCTATATTCATAACCTTTGTTAAAGACAATATCAGCGTAGATTAATCACCTTACGATTGCATCGATTTTTTCTTAATGTTTTTATTTTTAGTTTGGTCAGCTCGCTTTGACCAAAACTTGAGCTTCCATTTTTCAGCATTTTTATCTCTGCCACTTGCGTATAGAAAAAGCATCCAAGCATGCTGAAAGCATGCTCAGAAACTACATGATCTCCGCATTCAGACAAAATTAAAGCCGAAAAAATCTTCAGGATGGAAGAAAATTACGATTTTTTAGAAACGGCAGCGAGGAAGAGAGAGAGAGAGTTTCTATGAGGAAATTTCATTTTTCCATGATGATTAAACATCAAAATGCAGATTTGAATTGAATTTGAGATTGAATTTTGAATCAGATTTGAATCAAATTTGAAATATAAAACTACGCTTACGCTCTTTTAGGAAATTAACCATATCTAAGGTACTTCATCCAGATATTCAAAGTACTTCATATCAGAACTGGCTATGAAACCAGATTGTAATAAGAATATTTACTTCAAGTCTTTTGTCCTTTCCTCTGCCGCCCATGTTGAGATCTCCAGCTCCAGAAGAAGTCGGGAAGATTTTCCTCACTGATAAATTAAAATTACTTTCCTGTTTGGAAAGTATATTGACTTTATCTGCAACGCATGGATAATGTAAACATAAATGGCTTCCCATTTATCAACAACAAGAAAGTATCAACACTTAGAGATTATTTGATAGTGCATTTGGATCAGAAACGCTCTACACCAGATTTCATTTCTCATTGATGACTTAGGCAAGCGTAGAGCTTTCAAAAGTAATCACAAGTACTATTTTGTAATTTCTTTTTACAAGTTGATGTCCTCGCTCTCGTTCATTTTCACTTTATTCGTTTTTTACCACAAAGAATGATCAATCGTTGTTGCTTAGATGGTGTATCTGCCCCTAACTGTACTATTAATGTGTCTCGCACTCGTGAATGGCCTCGATGATTTTGAAAAACGAAAAAGATTCCATGGTGAGTTTTGGATATGAATAAGCAAATAACAATGCAGAAAGAAAACTTCTCTCAATTTTTTAATTGTGTGGCATTTTATTAGAGTTCTGAAAAAACATATTCCAGACCGGCAATGCGAACTAACGCCTTCTCTACCAAGTTGTACCACTCCCTATAAGTTGGCAGTTTTCAAACGAGAAACAATGTCCCAAGACAATAACAATCGGCTACAAAAGCTATCTAAAGCTATGGGAGTCAAGGTACTTTCAAAAATATGAGACGTAAATTACCTTCTTGTTAAGAGAATTTTAGAGAACCGTAAAGCGCAGCTCTTGGTATGACGATGATGACGAAGACTACGAGTTTTATTTATGGAAGAAATATCGTCGTGAAAAGCTGAGACGACGGCTTCTTCAAAATTCAGGGTATGTCACTCCAGAAGGCTGATTATAACAACATGCATAGCTTTTCAGGGACTCTTCCGAATCTGTCCAATATCATTACCACAACTATAACAGTCCTTATTCAAGCGGATACAGAGCCTACCCATATACCGGATATTACAGACCCTCCTATGGGTAAGTGAACACTGGAAACTGTAAGCTTAGTATTTTTCATTACATAGATCTGTTTTGAACACAGCTACAATAATCACTGCGACCAGTTAGACCAGACCGAATGACCTTGGCAATTCGCTGAACCCACTTTGAGTTGATGCATAAAACGTATTTGTAAACATGAGACTCATGAAAACATAT